CATATCCCGATACCATTACAATGCCATATCCCGATACCATTACAATACCATATCCCGGTACCATTCCAATACCATATCCAGATACCATTCCAATACCATATCCCGATACTATTCCAATACCATATCCCGATACCATTCCAATACCATATCCCGATACCATTACAATACCATATCCCGATACCATTACAATACCATATCCCGATACCATTACAATGATATGTCCCGATACCATTACAATACCATATCCCGGTACCATTACAATACCATATCCCGATACCATTACAATACCATATCCCGATACCATTCCAATACCATATCCCGATACCATAACAATACCATATCCGATACCATTCCAATACCTTATCCCGATACCATTACAATACCATATCCCGGTACCATTCCAATTCCATATCCCGATACCATAAAAAAAATACCATATCCCGATACCATAACAATACCATATCCGATACCATTACAATACCATATCCCAATACCATTACGATTTTGGATTACCAAGAAGCTAGAACTATCCTGTTTGCTGAACATAATTGTTGCTTGGTTCAAGTTTTCATGGGGTACAGTAAAAATTAATTAAGATTTTGTTACTGCATGACAAATAAAAAAAAAATGTAGATAGTAGATGTATTTATTACATGCTAGAATTCATAGTCCTTTATCACAAGACAAAATAAAAAAAACAAAGTCAGCAAAATGGATTTAGTTTTTACATGATATATAACAGTTAACGTTGTAATAAAATAGCTAATGGCAAACAAATGAACAAAGTGTCCAGCATATGGAGTGTAAAGCTCTCAAACCACATTATAGACATTCAGGAAAACAAAATATGAAAAATATTAACTATTTATTACAAAACTTTCTTCCATTCCTACGTATGCCAGCCACAAGTGTCCTTTTAGAAACATTCATATCGGATATGTGTTTCTCTTACCATGGACAGGTGTATACACTTTTCCCGGGGTGATATAATCTTCGTTTTACGTGTTGGTGGCATGATAATCCCCTTGTCAAATTAGGACGCCACAACAACAATACACTCTTATCACTGCACAGACGTATCCAAACTTTTCCCAGTGTAAGATTCTATTAATCGCACCTCAATTGAAGGAAAGATTCTAGTTGTCCCATATCTTATAAATTACATATGACAGGTTTTCTGATTTAATGAAAACATGCTGGTGTCGTGCTAAAATGATCAATAAAGCAAACATTTACTTTTTTGTTTGTTTTTTGTAGTGGTTTTATTTTTCCTAGTTTTTCATTACATATACATATACATAAACAGGACATTCACGCATTCTCACATATACACACACGGACATGGATTTCGCATTATCACAATCATTTTCATTGTCATCATAATATCATCATCATCAACATCAGAATCATCAGCATCAACAACATATCATCATCATTCATCTTTATCATCGTCATCATCCTCTTTCATATAGAGCAAACATTTACTTTTAACATATAAATGTATAAAAATAAAAAGCAAACATTTACTTATATGAGTGTTATACTGGGTCTTAAGAGTGAAAAACTATAAAGGTAATATTTCTGATAAAATCGCTTACATCCACACCTCTCCCATATACATTTTGTTTCTATGGTACTAGATGTTGTCTAAGCATAGTATCTATACCTAAATTATCTTTATACTAATTCTAAAATAACCACCCACATCCCTGTGATGTTATCCTTCAGCACCAAAGCCCCTGTGATATAACGTGTAACACCTAAACCCCTGTGATGCTACATAACAACAAAGTTCCTGTTACTGCAATATTCGAGCCAATGTGATGTTAGTTAACAACATCCAAATCCCTGTGATGTTACCCTATCATACCCAAACCTCAGTATGTTACCCAACAACATCCAAATCCCTGTGATGTTACCCTATCATACCCAAACCTCTGTATGTTACCTAACAACATCCAAATCCCTATGATGTTAGCCAATCATACCCAAACCTCTGTATGTTACCTAACAACATCCAACTCCCTGAGATGTTACCCTATCATACCCAAACCTCTGTATGTTCCCTAACAACATCCAAATCCCTATGATGTTAGCCAATCATACCCAAACCTCTGTATGTTACCTAACAACATCCAAATCCCTGTGATGTTAGCCAATCATACCCAAACCTCTGTATGTTACCCAACAACATCCAAATCCCTGTGATGATACCCTATAATACCCAAACCTATGTATGTTACCTAACAACATCCAAGCCCCTGTGACATTACCTAACAACATCCAAATCCCTGTGATGTTTCCTTCCAACATCTATGTCTATGTGATCTTACTAAACAACACAAAAGCCCATGTGATGTTACGTTAAAATACCCAAACCCTGTGATGTTACATCATGACACTCGAGTCCCTGTGATGTTGTGTAAACCCTTTGATTTTATTTATTACACACACAACAGCATAACGACAGCAAAATAAAAACGCCTTTGATTTACCACAACCCCATTTATGTTATCTAACAACATCCGAACTCTTGATATGGTACCTAACAACATCCAAGCCCCTGTGTTGGTATCTTAAAGCATACGAGACATTTTGATATTACCTTATGATATCCCCATGACTGAACCTTATTCATGTACCACCCAAGTCCATACAATGTTGGAGGATGTGACATTTGTCGACGGTACGATAGACTATCAGAGGTGAAGGATGAGATCACAGAGACATGTGATGTAACAGGAAACAGATCTAACCAATGAATAAACACTGTTGTTAACCTATACTCAGAAAAAACCCATGAAAGGTGACACCTTGTTCGCTAAAATCTTTCAAGCGGAAAGTCTACGATGGCCCATGATTTTCATGTGTGTCGTGAATTACACCAGTGATTTGTCAAAAACAAATATTCTGTCACGTAAAAAACCGTAATTCTTTTGTCACCCACTGACGACTGAAAACTCAAAAATCATCACCAATACGCATTTTCATTAGGCCGAGACTGTCACTAGTTTGCAGGGAAATGGCTGTTGGCATGCTCCATGCTGAAGTGTCGCTACATAAAGCTGTAGGACAGTTGTTGACAACAATAAAACTGGGTCGACATCCTATCCTCTGCTGTTCAAACTGTTCAATGAATTCACTGATACCAAATTGAATAAATTTGTAACATAAATGATATAAATAATCTCACCTGAAAGAAGTGTTCACCTTTCTATGCTTTTGTATGCGGATGATATTGCACTTATGGCTCCTGATGTTAACTCGATGCAACTAATGCTAAACATGTTAAATAGGTGGTGTAAGAAATGGAAACTGGAAATTAACCCAGATAAAACGAATATTGTCCATTTTAGGAATAAATCCATAGATATCACTGACCACAATTTTACATGTGGCAATACGCCTATTGTTTTGAACAGCAAATATAAATACCTGGGCCTTTGGTTTGAGGAACACCTAGATTTACATTACGCTGTTAAAGAACTATGTAAATCAGCTAGTAGAGCACTTACAGCTTTATATGTGAAATATTCACATGCTGGTGAAACGTCTTATGAAGTCTTCAGCAAATTATATAAAACTTTAATTGAACCTGTAATTTTTTATGGATGTGGTATATGGGGCGTAAATAAATACAAAGAAGTCTCTGTCGTAATGAACAAAGCCTGCAGATATTTTCTAGGTGCCTCTCGTTGAGCAAGTAACTTGGCACTACGAGGCGATATGGGATGGCACTCTTGTAACGTCAATCAGTTTTTAGAAACAATATGTTTATTTTTAAGAATAAAATCTTGTGATGATAACAGACTCATGAAAAAGGTACATACATGGTCAGTAGGCCTGAAAAAATCTTGGGATTCTAGAATCTTAAAAACGATTAATGATAAGAATTTAAATGACATCGTTAACTCAAATTTTTCTGTCAAACACAGGATTGGAAAAGTGAAAGAAAAGTTAAATATTCTAGATGCTGACGAATGGTACAAATCGGTGTGGAATGATAGCTTAAATGCAAATGGTAATAAATTAAGAACCTACAGAACGTTTAAATCAGAGCTAAGACCTAGCTCATTTGTCAAACTGGTTCGCCAGAAAAGCAAACGAAGGGTGCTATTTAATTTTAGATGCGGCTCGCTACCCCTAGCAGTTGAAACTGGTAGATTCGCCAAACCGGTGATTCCTCTTCAAGAACGCATATGTAAATTGTGTACAAATGTAAATAACTGTATAGAAGATGAATTCCACTTTTTAATGAAATGTACTGTGTATAATGATATTAGATCAACTCTATTTGATGTGGTAAAAAACATATGTACCGATTTCACTAATCTTAGTGATGCAGACAAATTCAAGTACTTAATGTCTTCTGAGGAACTACAAATACCACTAGCAAATGATTTGTATAAAATGTACAGACGTCGCAGTTCTTTGTGCGTCTAGTATTTTACTATAATGCAAATAATTAATTAGTGTCTCGTAAGCCGTATCCGGCTGAGTATCACATTAAATTACATGTTTTATTTAAAAATACATTTTTTTTTACCAGGGATCAATGCAGGGGTTTGGTTTATAAGTGGGTAAGCTCCCTTTAACTTTGAAATATTCTTAAATATATTAAAGCCATTGATCAATGTTTAAAGTTTATTTTTCTCTATCGTGTTTTAAAGTTGTAAATGTACCTTTGAGATGGGACTTCGAAAAGCCCTCGCTGGTAGGGACTGGCCCAACCGCTTGAAGCTAATCGTTTTCTCAATTTCCTTTTAACCTGTTATAACCATAGGTCATAGACCTTGAAATATTATTTAATTTGTTAATTATTGATCAATACTAAAATTTTGCCCTTTTAACCGTGTTTTAAACTATTAAATGTAACCTTAAGAAGGGACCTCGAAAAGCCCTCGCCGGTAGAGCTCTCCCCAACCGCTTGGAGCCAATCGGTTTCTCAATTACTTTCAACCTGTTATTCCTTTTTTTAAACTGATAAAAAATATATTTTATTTTTAAAGTTACATCGTATGATTGCAGTGGCGCAGAGCGACCTGTCTTCGCTGGTAGGGCTCTCCCCAACCCTAAGGTAGCGCACTTTGAGTCACTGCAACCTACATGTTAATAATAATAAGAAGGGTAGTCTCACAATAATCTAATGTCGATATTGATCCCTATTACAAGGGGTTTTTTTTTATGTTAAACAAACTATTTTAAGTTCTAGGAAACAGCCAACTGCAAGTATTTTATATGTACCAATGGAATTGATTTATATTTTGTACAAGTATTTTATATGTATTAATGAACATAAATGTAATTGTGATATGTGACACTTAAATAAACAAATTGAACTTGAACTTGAACCTATGAAAGGTGACACCTTGTTCGCTAAAATCTTTCAAGCGGAAAGTCTACGATGGCCCATGCTTTTCATGTGTGTCGTGAATTACACCAGTGATTTGTCAAAAAAAAATAATCTGTCACGTAAAAAACCGTAATTCTTTTATCACCCACTGACGACTGAAAACTCAAAAATCATCACCAATTCGCATTTTCATTAGGCCGAGACTGTCACTAGTTTGCAGGGAAATGGCTGGTGGCATGCTCCATGCTTAAGTGTCGCTACATAAAGCTGTAGGACAGTTGTTGACAACAATAAAACTGGGTCGACATCCTATCCTCTACTGTTCAAACTGTTCAATGAATTCACTGATACCAAATTGAATAAATTTGTAACATAAATGATATAAATGATCTCACCTCAAAGAAGTGTTCACCTTTCGTTTTTACCTTTTGTTAGTATATTTTAAACACGTTATTTTAATCAGAGTTGAAATCATTTAAAAACTGAGATACAAAGGTGCTGACGAGTGATAGGTTTTCCAATATATTTTTTAAACAAATACTCGAACAGTAAATATGTCCCTTTCAAAGACTCCATTTTAAAACCTTAATACTTGTTGGTTTCTACTACAATTCATATACTTCTATTATGCAGGTTGAAAGACATACTGATTGTTTTGACATTTTATTAAAACCTATCAATCTCTTTTTTTCTGTGACTATTGACGAGAACAGTTCAATGCACTTTCTAGTCTCTCGTTTTGAAGTAAAAGCTTGAATCTAGTCTATTCAACACCTGCTAAACCGCTTGTTCAGGTTTAATCTGTAGAAAATGAGCGGAAAATATTGGCGCTTCGAGCCCAATGGCTGCGACTGTCATCAAGAGACAAAGCAGAAAAAGGTTGCGGGCTTTCTTGCTGGTCGTCTGAGTACACATTAGAAAGCTTTGAGTGACAGATGAGGCTCTGGAACTTCCACTGATCCGCTGGGGTAAGGCTTTGTTTTCCTAGCCAGCACACACGGTCTTGATATCGTGAGATTCTGGCACACAGACACCGTAATAAACTGGCACGGTCCTTTACCTCAGGGCTGGGTATGTCTATTGTGTCTGTAGCAGAAATCAATTTTGATCAAATGATGCCTTCTATATGTTTTTCAATGAACAATATTTAGCCGAACTATTAATAATCTTGAAAGATGCCCTTTGAAATTGCTAAATTGCAGAGGAAAATTACATAAATGATTGAATTACATAAATACAGGCATCTGTCAATACAACTTATCCCTGAAGCTGGTTTCAGCTTCACTACTTAACACATTCAATCGTTAAAGCAGTAGGTTCTGAAGCGGCTTTGTGGCAGATATGTTAATGATATTTAATATGTCCAGTAATTTGCATTGGAATGCCTGTACTATAGTTATAAGAATCAGTCTAAATGTCACCCTTGTAAAATACTAGCCGCCCCCTACCGACTCAGCTACATAGAACCTTCTCTTTATCTAATTTGGTAGAGCGTAAGGCTAGTAAATGAGAGGTCCCCGGTTAGACTCCTAGCGGAGGTATTGAAAAACATGAACCTAAAACATATGGTACAGCCATATAGCTGTCCTTCTGGTAATAGATACAGCCATATAGCTGTCCTTCTGGTAATAGATACAGCCATATAGCTGTCCTTCTAGTAATGGATACAGCCATATAGCTGTCCTTCTAGTAATAAATATAGCCATATAGCTGTCCTTCTAGTAATAGATACAGCCATATAGCTGTCCTTCTGGTAATAGATACAGCCATATAGCTGTCCTTCTAGTAATAGATACAGCCATATAGCTGTCCTTCTAGTAATAGTTACAGCCATATAGATGTCCTTCTAGTAATAGATACAGCCTTATAGCTGTCCATCTAGTAATAGATACAGCCATATAGCTGTCCTTCTAGTAATAGATACAGACATATAGCTGTCCTTCTAGTAATAGTTACAGCCATATAGATGTCCTTCTAGTAATAGATACAGCCTTATAGCTGTCCTTCTAGTAATAGATACAGCCATATAGCTGTTCTTCTAGTAATAGATACAGCCATATAGATGTCCTTCTAGTAAAAGATACAGCCATAAAGCTGTCATTCTAGTAATCGATACAGCCATATAGCTGTCCATCTAGTAATAGTTACAGCCATATAGATGTCCTTCTAGTAAAAGATACAGCCATGAAGCTGTCATTCTAGTAATAGATACAGCCATATAGCTGTTCATCTAGTAATAGATACAGCCATATAGCTGTCCTTATAGTAATAGATACAACCATTTATATGACCTTCTGGTAATAGATACAGACATATAGCTGTCCTTCTAGTAATAGATACAGCCATATAGCTGTCCTTCTAGTAATAGATACAGCCATATATGTGTCCTTCTAGTAATAGTTACAGCCATATAGATGTCCTTCTAGTAATAGATACAGCCATATAGCTGTCCATCTAGTAATAGATACAGCCATATAGATGTCCTTCTAGTAATAGATACAGCCATATATCTGCCCTTCTGGTAATAGATACAGCCATATAGCTGTCCTTCTAGTAATAGATACAGCAATATAGCTGTCCTTCTAGTAATAAATACAGCCATATAGCTGTCCTGCTAGTAATAGATACAGCCATATAGCTGTCCTCCTAGTAAAAGATACAGCCATATAGCTGTTCTTCTAATAATAGATACAGCCATATAGCTGTTCTTCTAATAATAGATACAGCCATATAGCTGTCCTTCTAGTAAAAGATACAGCCATATAGCTGTTCTTTTAATAATAGATACAGCCATATAGCTGTTCTACTAGGACTCATCGATGATATTAGGGGTCGAAAATCCAAATTGTCCTAATCTACTGTTGAAACAGAAGGGAAGGTACGTAACACCCATTAATTATATAAATCGATACATAGAGGAGTACTGCTTGATTTGAAATTGATAATAACGATTAAAGTAAGAATCGTTTCTAACTACTCCTATGACAAAACTGTGGCCATCAACGTTACGTCGACCCTCGGGGACTATCCACCAGCCGAGTCTACCACCCCGTGTCTAGACATATGAACCTAGGACACACACGTGACACAAATAAGGAAGAAAGCCAAACAAGAGTTTTACTTTTTACCTCTCCTGTGATATTGTATTGTTCAGAAAAGAAATGTTATGAGAGGGATGAGTGGATAGAAACTGACATACCACGTTATTCACTTTAAAAAACATTGAATGCTACACACAATTTAAATTGTAATTACCGATGAATTGAATAGTTACAATGTATAAAGTTTTCATATTAATGCTAAAATATAATTATAGTAACTTTTCTTTATAATAATCTATCTAGAACCTAAACTTGGTATCAATAGCGATTTCTTCAAAAGCACAAGAACTAAACAAAGCAAAGATTACATTGGTCTTGTCCAATACACGTAGATCATATTCTTTAAAAATATTTTTTATGATAGTTTTGTATCATTTTGAGTGCCATAAGACAAAATGAAAGAACTCACATTAGAGCATGGACAGTTTTAACCTCTGTTTTGGTTTACAGTAATAGAGGCAATAATAGATGTTCTACTGGTTTTAAAGGCAGACTAGAATTCTAGACATTTACTGTCTCTGAAATGCGAATGGAGTTTAACTTCTTCAGGACCAAAAGAGCTAAAACTAATGAAAGAATCCCTCATATTTGCCTAGGATTCAAGCTGATAAATATCCACGCCTTGTAAAAAGGAAAGACAACCGTTCCTATCCGAGATATACACTCTACATTAACAGTCTGCTAACCGTAAGTATACACACTACATTACCAGTCTGCTAACCGTAAGTAAGACCAACCGTTCCTATCCGAGATATACACTCTACATTACCAGTCTGATTACCGTAAGTAAGACCAATCGTTCCAATCCGAGATATACACTCTACATTACCAGTCTGCTTACCGTAAGTAACACCAACCGTTCCTATCCGAGATATACACTTTACATTACCAGTCTGCTTATCGTAAGTAAGACCAACCGTTCCTATCCGAGATATACACTCTACATTACCAGTCTGCTAACCGTAAGTAAGACCAACCGTTCCTATCCGAGATAAACACTCTACATTACAAGTCTGCTAACCGTAAGGAAGAACAATCGTTCCTATCCGAGATATACACACTACATTACCAGTCTGCATACCGTAAGTAAGACTAATCGTTCCTATCCGATATAAACATACTACATTACCAGTCTT